GTTTAAATGGTAAATGGACTGTACTTGTATAGCGCCTTTCTATCTTATTTCAAGATACTCAAAGCGCTTTACAACACAATCTGTGCCCTCATTTACCCATTCATACAGCACTCTACTAGATCTCTACAAAGCTAATTTAACAAATCATTCTAAAGAGACTAATCAGAGCTTTATCACATTCATACATTGATGGGACACACATCAGAGGCGATGAGGGGTTCAGTGTCTTGCCCAGGGACACTTCAGCGTGTGACTGCTGTTGAAATTTGATATGGCAATTCAATTTTTGATAGTGAACTTTCTTATGTCTAGATGCAGCCACACACCAACATGGAAGTCACCACATTGCTTTTTAAGTTATCCAGCTCACAAGGTTTATGTACATTAGCAGTCATCTTGGATTTTGACTTGGCAACCCATTTTTCATTAGGGGCCATTCTTATGCCTAGATGCAGCCACACAACAAAATGGAAGTCTACCACACTTATTTTACGTTATTCGGCTCACAACATGGACGAACGGATGGTATTTCCTATTACTCAGCTCTGTAACGGGGGGACAGAAATGCATCAGATTCGTATCTGTGAAACAAGTTTTGAAAATTTATCAGAAGCAGAAAGATTTGTTCTAAAAATAAATCAGAAATTTTCCAGAGATAACGACCTACAATTGACAAAAAGTCTCGCTCCGAGCAGCCTGATGTGTGTAGAGCCTTGTGCAGTTATACTTAGCAGCTTGGTGTGGTTTGCATGTAATGTAATCAAGGTAGACACAACAGGTGCCGCATGTAATGACCCTGCGCTATGGTGCAGCACTTCTTAAATTGGATGCTGCACATTCATTAAAATGAAACGAAGGACAAGGCTTTGCGTCGAGTATAAAGCAGCAGATCTCATATATTAATTCAAAAATTTGAACAGACCTTTTTACTGACAATCCTGCTCTCAGCACACTGAACAGTGATGGCAATTTAAATTTAAATACTCCTTTGTTTGTTTATTCATTTGCTTATTTTTCAGGATTATCAGGAGCAGTTGGGTTTGTAGCACAGAGAAGTATGTTTAAAGCAAAAAATCCAAACTTTTACACGATTAAAACTAATAATAAAATCACAAAATTTGATTAGCAATGGCATTTTTTTGTTAATGTGAAAAAAAACAACACGGGTCTTGGTTTTCTCTATTAAAATTTAATTTACAAGAAAAAATGGAAACAAAATGAGGCAGCTATGCCATTTATTTTCTCCTGCTCCAGGAATAATTGTTTTTAAATGTTAGACATTTGAATGTTTTTTTGTTTGTGAATCTTGTGTCTGTATTGATCTGAAGTATAGAATCACAAACAGTTTGGCTTGAGGTAAAATTTGTGATGTTGCTTCAAATATAAGTGGATAAAAACAAAACAAATATTAAATGTAAAAACAGATTTAACCTTTGTGGGAAGTTAAATATTCCAGTTCATAAAAAAAACACTTTAAGGCATCACTTTTAACATCTAATATAATTTTTGTTTAGTTTTTTTAATTTATTTATTTATTTTAATTCATTGCGTTTTTTTATGGATTTTTTTTCTTTCAATTTTGAACAAACAAAAAAAAAACAAAAAAAAAAAAAAATCTCACCCCTTCCCTCCCACACCGGATCAGTCACACATACACAAGCAAATTAAACAGGCATTGACATGCTTTCCACATACAACACAAAAGGCTGCCAAGTGTCCCAAAATCTTTTAACAGAACCCTTCAGGGTGTATCTTATTTTTTTCCAAATGGATATGATATATCACCTCTCTTATCCAATGTACATATGCCGGGGGGGGGGGGGGGGGGGGGGGGGGTCCTTCAAATTGCACAAAATGAGCCTCCTGGCCAGAAGACAGCCAAAGGCAATCACATCCTTCTTGCATTCGCTGAAGGACGTATCCACAGGGACAACCCTGAACAGTGAGATGAGTGGTGATGGGTGAATAGTTTTGCCACATATTCCAGAGAAGGTGTCAAAAATAGATTGCCAAAAAGTCTGCAGTTTGGGGCATGTCAAGAATGTATGCAAGAAGGCAGCTGGAGTTTGTTTGCAACAACTGCATGCGGGGTTCAGGTCAGCCTTGATCTTGGACAACTTGTCTTTAGACCAGTGCAGCAGGTGCACTACCTTGAATTGAATTACAGCATGTCTCAGACAGATTGAAGATAAGTAAATGTTCTTAATGATCTTTCTCCAGGTTGAGTCTGATATGGATTCCTCCAGGTTCACACACACAACTTCCTGGTAATTCCCATTAATTTCAAAGGTTTCTAACTCTGAGAATTTATGGAATTTAATTCTATACATAACACATCTACACACGCACACACACACACACACACACACACATACACACATATAATTATTATACACTCAGTTTACAAGAACTCACATGTTCGTCCTCATCTATGTACCGATTGCTCTCTGACACTTAAAGTCCATTGTTTATTGTACCCCTTGTGGTAATTTTAGTACACAAATTTAATTAATAAATGTCAGTAGAAGTCTAACTCACTCATCAACCTGAAAGAGAAAATTGAGACAGACAGCACCTTGAACTACTGCTTTCATACAGACTCTTCAGCGTTGAGGGGCACCTAAAGGAGCAAAATAATGCTTTTTCTGACAGGACTGACTAAAAAATAAAAAGTTGAAAAATATAATTTGACTGTTGAAGCATTCGCAGCTGAGGCCTCTATGTGTGGAGTCTGAATGTTGTCATTGTGCATGTGGGTTTCCTCTCAAAAACGTGCACGTGAGCCTAATTGATGAAGCTAAATTGACCTTAGAAATGAGTGAGTGGTCGTTTGTCTCCCTGAACGGAGTAAAGTGGGTAAAGAAAATGAATGAGTTCATACTACTTGGAGTTTCTTACCGAATGTTGGCTGATTTGGCTTTCAGGTCGCTCCAGCGTTGGTTCATGTCATCCAGTCTGTGTTGGAGGAGCACAGCTTCCTCTGAGTTGCCCAACGCTTTGACCATCTTCGACTTGTTTCCGTCCACGCTCTTGTAGATGTCATTGTGGGCGTCAATCTCCGCCTGAATATCCTGCAAATACACACATTTGATACAATTAGAGATGCATAAGCGACTAGGGATAAAAGTACAATCGTGGACAGCATGTAAAAGTTACTGAATTTTACAAAAAAAAAACATAAAAAAAAATTGAAAAGGATGATTTAGTTGTTTACAATCAGATTGAACTCTCCTGTGCAGATTAGTCCAATAACTTTATGGAACACTGCACACATTTCCAGAAGGCAGAGAAATTCCTCAAGGCGCTTTGATTAAAGAGATTTCAACTTCCACCTTTTCATTGACTTGACAAGCCTACCCAAACCAGAACCAAGTCCCAAAGTAACGCCTGCCTCCACAGTTATGCAGCAATACATTAGAAGAGGGTTACACTACAGCAAAATTTGCTCATTTACCCTATAATACCGTCCCTATTCCAAAATGTCATGTGTGGCTGCAAGATAATACCATATTTGTGTGATGGAACATGACTTTCCATGTGTGACTGTGGGCACGAGTGAGCTAAACACAGCAGATCTATTACACAACAACATCTCAAAGAGTGTGTGAGGGTTTGTGTGAGTGTCGAACCACATGGGAGAGTGACGCAAGCAGAGGATTCTGTCAAATGTTTTATTTTTAGATTTGTAAAACTGCTCCATTTTCTTCTCTCCCGCCATCTCAGCTGGGACTACCCTGACTTCCATTTATCTCAGCTGAAGATAAAACTCCAAAAGCTGCACAGATGAGTGTATCGCTGCCTGGAGCACAGAGACAGATTTGCAACAGAGACAAAAACGGGTGTAGGTAGAGAAGGAGTGATGAGAGCTATAATCTCATTATGATACAGTACAGTAACATAAAATGTTTCTGGTCATCAGGTGGAAAATTACACAGTCACTGCCTCTTCAAATGACGTTTGTGTAACATTTGCTATGCTGCATTACATGTGGAAATTTGTATTAAAACTGTTTTACAATTATTATAAATTGTAAAAGCTAGGGAAATTGTGCAAATACTGCTTTCTGTTCCAACAGTGGCAATATGTTTGTTTGTCTAGTTAGTCTGTATAAAGAGGTACATTTTTGGCTTTGGATTGTTCTCGGCTCATCACAACACATCAAAGAGAATGAAACTACCATTCCTTGAAGGAATGCATCTTGCTCTCCACCTTGCTTGTCAGTGTTGTAAGCAAATAGAGTGCAACATGATAGCACATTTCATATGTGATGGAAATGACTCTGAGCTACCATCACCCCAAATCTTAGCTTAATATATATATTCTTTAAGAATCTGTTGGACTCCTGGCAAGGACCAATGCAGACATGTTCCTGTTTTTAGTTTTCTGCATTCGTCTTATAATCTAGCTGTTTTTGTTACTTTTTCTGCCATCTTATTTTAATTTGTAAAAAAACAAAAAAAAAATCAAAAAAAATCTGTACGCCTCTTTTATAATTGGCTATTGTTGTCGCTGTTGTCCATTGTTGTCAACATTCTTTGTTGAAATCAGGTCTCTCTTGTAAATGAGTCCTCGAGGCTCAATGGGATTAACCTGTCTAAATAAAGGGTGAATGGAGAAAAAAAACAACTTTCTTTTTACTTTCTGAGAGTTTCACTGAACTCTCAGAAACCACTTTGGCATGACTGTCTCAGAGGAGTTGACGGGGGAGATGGCGGGCTCCAGAGGTCATCTTAACACCAGCAAACTGTTTTGTCCCACTATGGAGTGTGCGGCCGGTTTGTGGGACTCAGTTTTGTTTGGTGGCTTCTCAGATTGAGGAAGTCCTTTGGATGAAGTACGAAACGACACAGCACAAAAACGTTTACCTCTGAGGTTGAAACTCTTTGTCAGTTTGAATTTGAGAATCAAGATCTAACCTATCTTCGAGCCAGACAAAGTGCTCCCCTGCGACAGACAGTGCACAACTTGCCAAAAGGTTCAAGATGCTGACATTTGCACTAAATTCCCCAGATCATAATCTGACCAGACAAGAGAGAGATGAGAACACCTGATCTCCAGATGCAACACTGTAAAAGCCCAACGGATCAGAAGAACCTGCTGCTAACATGAGCAGCCCTGATACGAGATCAAAACGCTGCCATCCAATTGGGGAGCATTGCTACTGTAAAAACAAAAGAAAATAGCACATACTTTCATTAACAGGGTTTTTGTTTAACAAGCACTGCTGATGGTAAGGATACTATGATGTAGAAGGAGCTTTAATTTAAAAACATGCTCTTGTAAAAACACAAACCAATTTAAAGGACCATGGTGCTCACAGCACACACAAACACAAAGCACCCAAGGAAATGTATTGCAATTTACTGAACATCAACAGACATTTAACAAAGGTTAAGTAAATCCCTCCACTGTGATCTGTGAAGATAATAAGCCATTCAAAGAACACTGCTTTTTAAAGGTCATAGACTAAAGTGGGGACGGGTGCAACTTAGACGAGATGTGGAGACAACAGAGGAAAACTAGATGGACACACTGAAAGTAAAAGACACAAATATACTCTGTGACTGAGCCAGCTGGCTGCATTTCAAGTCATTACACTAGTGCTTCCCTTTTCTTTCTTCTTTTTTTTTTTTTTTGCACTTCAACTTCCACATAAAGTAGACTATGCACACACACAAACACACTGGTGCATTCATACATGAGACAGGAAGCCCAGACTGAGAGGGCAAACATATTCATTTACAAAGCAGTCTTTAAATTTCATTTCACCCAGTGAATGACGACATGGAGCCAGAAGTTTGTATATGTCAATGTGCTTCCTGAGGGGCTTAAATATGGTGACTGATCTTTTTCTCCTCCCACATGCACGCGCACATGCAGGCGTGCGCACGTGTGCCACATGCCATGTTGCCAATAAAAACTGCTCTCCGTTAGCAGCAATAACAAATTTTATTTAAGGTATTGATTTGGATGTAGATTATTTTGTTTTGATATGAAGATGCTACTACATTCATTAAAGAGATGGTTCAGATCTTTTCTAGTGTGGGGTTCTGTGGAAAGCTTTGAAATGATTAACATATTATCTGTTGTAGATAGCTCTTAGAATAGAAATAAAGTTTATTTTGAAATAAATTAAAACGTATGTCCAATTTTTTTTAATAGCGATTTATGCAAACACTATTTTACAATTCTTCAAACCGATGTCAATTTCGAATTACACAGTGCAGCTATTACAATTGTTTTTTTTGGTCCAATCTTCTCCCAACATTGAAGCCATTTTTTTTCTCATGGTAATGCAAGTAAGGGCTAGTCATCCCATTTAAATGAGTACAGTAATGGCTCTTCAGGTTCCATAAAGGTAATTACAATGGACCAAAGACAAGTAAATGGACTGTACTTATATAGCGCCTTTCTATCTTATCAAGATACTCAAAGTACTTTACAATCTGTGTCCTCATTTACCTATTCATACAGCACTCTACTAGATCTATACAAAGCTAATTGAACAAATCATTATAAAGAGACAAATAAGTGCTTTAGGTCACATTCATGCACCAATGGGACACACATCAGAGGCGATGAGGGGTTCAGTGTCTTGCCCAGGGACACTTCGGCATGTGACTGCTAGTGGATTCGAACCCCCAACTCTTGCATTGGAGGATGACTGTTCTAACCACTCAGTCACAGCCACGCTAGTAAAGAAACATTTCTCTCAATCAGGCTAAATTCAAACACCAAGCTGAAGTAAGATGTAAATTATACCTGTTCAAACCTTCCGAGCAGCTCATGCAAGCTGAAGTTCAAACCAATCATCCTGGACTCTGAGCTGTGGCTCCTCCCACTCCCTTTGGTCTCTACATCTTCCCCATTGTCACGGAGGTCCAATGACATTAAAGTCTTAGGACAAAGAAATAAGTCCTCCGGTGGTTACGATCAAAATATAAACCTTCAAGATCCAGGTGGTGATCATTAGTAAATCCAGGGCTTGAATAATGTTGAGTCCAACAAAAGATAAACCAAACAGTTATAAAAAGTTCAAACATAAAACAGTCAAACTGAGTTTGCAGCCCCAAAACAGACGATTGACACAATTCACACAACCTTTGGCAGAACTCACACATATGTGCCGGTGTGTGCGTTCGGCCAATTCCAGCCCATGATTGTAGCATCCTCCTCTGACGGTCACGCTGAGTGAGGAGGGTTACAGTTACCCTGCAGCCATGGTGGGGCTTGGATGACGTTTGGCGCCACTGGAGTTTGGAAAAAGTCACAGCTGGAGGCTGACAGTTGATTTCCTCAAACCACGAACAGGGCACTGAAATTGGAGGTGATATCCAACAAATCTTGGGTGGACGTCTGCAGTACAGAGATAATGGCTCATCTCCTGAGGAACGAGTGGGCTGCTGTAAACCTCTGAGCGGTCGAGGACAGGTTTGCCTTTTTCCTTCGACCCCGATATGCTTCCCTTCCTCCACTTCCCTTTTGGGCATGAAAGAAGCTGTTTACACGATGTCCAGCCGTCCAATCCAGGGCAGGGCCAGGGCGGTTGTACTCAATTACTGAGATAAAAAGCATTCTATTCCTGCCAGCCACACTTCAAGAGAATCCGATGCACAAAGAGGCATGGTTTGGCCTCTCATTCCCCTCGGTTTAGGTAACAAAGACTCAAAGAGCTACCTTAATGTCCCCCTCACTGGTTGCCCCTCAAGTCGCAAGCCTCAGTCTGGTCTCCCTCTATCACACCTTCATAATCACTACCATGACTGGGCCACTTTGTCAAAGAATTCCTTCTTCTTTTTGTTAGAGCCACATGTTCACGTAGAGCTACTTCAGGGCTCAGTGTCACAGTCCTGGATAGAAAGTCAAACTCACTATGAGCTTTCAGATTATTTTGCTCATTGTTGAAAAGCTAAAATAGAAGCAAGCTGAGTCGTCTTCTCATTCCTCAGAGATGAAGAAACCCTTAAAAATGTCCCCTCCTGAGGCGTTTTGTTTCATCACAGGGTCACACAAACGCACAGGCTGGCATTCCCATTCCTCTCCCGTCCGTCGTCTGTTGCTCCTGAATCTC